AGGAAAGATGCTCCCCAGCTGCAGTTGCTCAGCTGTGGAGTCCACGGCCTCTGGAGGCCGGCCTCTGCGGGATGGAGGGGAGGCCCAGCCAGGATGGGCACCCCTCCCCCGACGGTTTCACTTCCTCTTTCCAGGAGACGGAGCCCTTCCCTGGCTACTCCAGGAAAACCTCAGGGCTCCCCAAGTTCTCTAAAACAGATGAGGCACCCCCTTATTTCCAACCACGAAACTGGTCAGGGCTGCTCCCCGAGCTGGCGGGAGGGGGCCGGGGTGGGAGGCGGGGGCTTCTGGATCAGCGGCCCCCGCTCTGAACCAGACTCTGCCTGTGACTGTGGCAGCCAGTGAGTGTCCACCCGGGCCCCGGGTTCCCCCTAGGGAACTGGGGGCCATGCCCTGCTCACCCCCAGGACTCCTCCCTGCCTGGTCCCTGACCTGGAGCCCAACTTCCGCTCTCCTTGGCGCCCTCTGCCCTCTGCTTTCGAGCGTGGGGAGTTGCTCAGCTCAATTACCACCTGTAAGACTACTGGGGGGCCCAGTGCCACGGACTGGCAGGTCCAGCCAGCAACTGCGACAGCCACTAACCTATCCTTCTCCTGTGCACTCACTTCCACCCCACCCCACCCACTTCTTGGTCTGGAACAAACCCACCAAGCCCGTTTCACCTCAGGACCTTTGCACACGCCGTTCCCGCTGCTGCCTGGTTCCCCCCTCTGTCCACAGAGCCACGTGTCTTGGGACTTCAAGTCTCAGCTCCCTCCTGGGTGTCACCTTCCCCACTAGACTGTCAATCCCACGAGGGCCCTTGCTACTGGGTAACTCTCGAAGGTGTCCCCAGTCCCTGGTCTGTCTGTGGCGTGAGCATGAGCCCCCAGGCTGCTGCGGCTGCCACCCAGGACACGTAAGAGCTGGTTATCGTCACTCTGTCCACGGGCTGTGCCGGCTGCAGGCTGCAGACTCCTTAGACGGAGCCCCAGGCCCGCCCCCCCAAGCCCTTGCCAGGCTTCCCGGCCTCTGCCAGCACCCACTTCCTCCCTGTCCAGATGTGGGCCCAGCTGGAGATGGCCTGGGCGGGAGGTCATGGCTCTGGATCTCTGAAGCAGCCCGGAGAAGGTCAGGAGGCCCGCGGGGGCCCAGGGGGAGGATGAGTCAGTCTGAGCCGAACCTGAAACCTCAGGGCTTCCTCCACTCTTCCTGGAAAGGCGAGAACTGGCACCTCAGACGCAGCTGTGCCCGCAGCCCGGGTGGCCCACGCCAGCCGGAAGTGGGGTCCCTGGCACTCCTGGGGTCCCTCCCCGGGGTCCCCTCTTCCCCAGGCCTCGTCCCTTGTCTCTCAAATGCCACCTCCTCCCAGAGGTTCTCCCCGATGCCACCTGTGCCCGGCTTGACATCGGTCCCTGGCACAGGATGATGGGGGTCCCCGACCCTCATGGGGAATCCAGGATCAGAATCAGGTTGCAGAAGACCCTCGGGGTAAAATACCAGGAGCTGTGCCCGCCCAGGGCTCTGCAGCAGCCTGCACCCTCCCGTGAGCACCAAGACATGGGTGTCGCGCCAGGGGCGAGGCCGAGGCCCTCAGAGCCGCACGGTTGGTTCAGGACACGATTTACTTCCAAATACGTTACGACAAACTCGATTTTCCGAGCTCCTGGGCTTCAGAAGGACAGATTAAGGTCGTGGATCCGTATACATTTACTTTTTTTGCTTAATGCCCGTCTGAACTGCAGGACACCAAGGGCCTGGTCTAACGCTCTGTCACCAGCACCTGGCACATCCAGGTGCTCAGTAAACCCTCAAAGAAGAAATGAACGAGGCAACCGGGTGCTGGACCCGGAGCTGCGACTCCATCCCAAAAGGGGAGAGAGAGAGAGCAATCGCAGAGCCCCTTCCACAGGCAAGGTGTCTGTAAACACTAGGTAGTTTTTATGGCCGGACGCGGTGACGCTCACCTGTCATCCCAGCAGCTCAGGAGGCTGAGGCAGGAGGATAGCAAGTTCAAAGCCAGCCTCAGCCTCAGTGAGGTGCTAAGCAACTCAGTGAGACCCTGACTCTAAATAAAATACAAAATAGGGCTGGGGATGTGGCTCGGTGGTCGAGTGTCCCTGAGTTCAATCCTCAGTACCAACCAACCAACCAACAAAAAAACCTATGTCATGAACACTCTCATTCCAAATACCCATGACAAACCAAGGGAGGCTCAGAGAGGTCGAGCAACTTCCTCAGGACGGCACAGCTACGAAGCAGCAAGCTAGGGCCCCTATCTTTGAACCTGTGCCCTTCTTTCTGCCTCAGAGACCCAGAACTATCTGCTGGGAAACCCAGCCAGTCCTGAGGGATGCTGCTGGCCCGTCGCCTCTGCAGGACCTCACCCCTCCTCTGGGTGCCCTGCTCCTTCTCGAGGCAGGTCAAGTCTGTGCAGCGTCCCAGCAAGCCCCAGCCTCCGCCATTCCCTGCCCAGCAGAGTCTGGCCAAGCGTGCCTGGGCAGGTCTCCACCGTGCCACCGAGTCCCTGGTGGCACCAGCAAACTGGCGACCAAATGGGAAAGATCGGGGGCTGGGAGGGAAGGTCGGGGTGAATCCTGCATCATTCTCAGATGTGGGAACCTGGGCGAGGCCCATACGTCTCTGGACCTCAGTGTCCTCATCTGCCAAATGGGTCAACTCAGCCGCCACCCCCCCTGGGGGTTCCTAGGAGGTGCAGACACCGCCGATGCGTCTATTTAACAAGCACACAGTGCTGGCTGGGCACCAGGCTCTGTTCTGTATGTTGGCCACAGTGGGACTCACGGGATCCTCATTGACGGGGCATAAGCCGCGTCTTTCTCCGGGTCCCCAGTGTTCCCAGAAGCGAGCTACATGGTAAGTAGCAAAGCCAGTCTTAGAACCTGGGGACCAGGCTCCTAACCTCTGAGCTCTACTTTCGGGCAGGTAGGGGCAGACAGAAACACTCACTGTGGACCTACTGTGTGATGGGAATTGCATTGCATATGTTTGAATATCTTTTTTTTTTTTTTTTTTTGCAGAACTGGAGATGGAGCTGGGGCCTCCCACATACCAAGCAGGTGCTCCACCGCTGAGCCGTCCCCAGCCCCGTGTTAAGAATCGGGGTGTCCTGCACCTCCATGAAAACCCTATTCCTACTCATGCGAGGAAGCTCTGCCCCAGATACAGTAGGGGCTGGCGGCCAGCTAGCCCCAAAGCCATCAGGTCCCCATTCCCCCAGGGGTGGTGAGGGCTGGGCAGGGGGGGGACTTGGGAAGCGGCTCTCTTCTCCCTCCCTGGACACTTAATGTCCTCTCCCCTGCAAACTCAGGAGGCCGCGTGCCTTAGCTGTGGCCACGCCTGGGCTTTCTGCGACTTGGTGACTGCTGTCTGAGGCCTATCACCCACTGAGTCACTGCGCAGACACTGGAAGGCCTTGGGTCCCCAGACCTGCCAATAACCGGGCATGTGGAACTGGGGCAGCTCTCTAGGGGTTTGTCCTCCCCAAGGCCCCCCTCCAGACCCGGAGCAGGGCGGGGCCCAGGAATCTGCCGGGACTCTGATGGCTAGCGCACAGGTCACCGCACTGACCCGGCTGCTGGGCCGGCCCCACCTTCCGCAGCTTTGGCCTGGCCCCTCCTGCTTCCCAGAGCAGACTCAGGAGTGCCCTGTGAAGAAAGCCTGTCCGCCTGCCTGGGAGAGTTGGGCACACCTGCTGGGGTCCCTCTGCCCAGGAAGCCCTCCTCAGCACTCCCCATGGCCACATCCACAGGGGGGAGCTGCTTCACAGCCAGCGGGTGCCCAGGCCGGGTGAGCCAGGCAGGGGCTCGGGGATGCTGGCCAGCGCCACCCCCACCCCATGCTGGGCCCCTGTGCCCTCATCTGTGTCATGGGCTGTGGCTGTCTGGAAGCCCCTGGCTGCTTGGGGCACCCTGGGCAGACTTGCCTCGGGGTTTCCCCTCTGCACTGTAGGAAGGGACTGATGTCCCTGCAAATGCCCAGGCTCCTTTAAAAGGCCACCTGCGGTGGGAGAAGCCAAAAACAGAGCCACAGCTCCCAGAGTCCCGGGGAAGGGCAGGGAGTAAGAGTCCCCGGGCAGGGCCAGCGCTGGCCTGGGGCACTCTCTGAATCCCAGCATGAAATTGCGGGCCCTGGGTCGGGCCTGGTTCTGAGAAATGCCGACCTTACTAAAAGAGAAAGAGACGGCGCGGGGGCGGAGCGAGAACCCGGGTCCCGGGCACCGCGGATCTGAAGGCCGGGAAGGGACCCGGGAATCTCCATTTTACAAAATTCCCCGGGAGGATCCGCTCCTGCGGGCGGTTTCGTGCGCACAGGGAGAGCTGGGACGCCGTGGTGGCTGGCGTTGGGCCCCGGGGTCCGGTCCGATCGGGCTCCCGGACTCGGCGGTGGGCGGCACCTCGGGCAAGTTAGGCGAGCCCCGGAGCCTGCGCGTCCTCGTCGTCGGTTAAATGACCATGACAGATCGCCCCCGACCGCAGAAACCTGCTTGCGGTTTCGCTCCGTGCCTTCAGCGCTCAGGACAGAACCCGAACCAAGTCCCCCAGGAGACGATCGCTGTGGCCAGGTCCGTGCGACACCGGGTCCCTGGACCTGGCGCCCGACTCCGCGGTCCTCCCGGCTCTCCCCACCTCCGGCTGACCTCCCGAGCGCAGAGCAGGGCGACGGCCCGGGGCGCAGGGCTGCGTGGCCCCAGACCGCCCTAACCCCACGCTCGCGACATTGCCAAGTCCCCGACGGGGGCTGCGCCTTTCGGGACTCGCCGGGTGCCCGAGCACCAGGGCCAGCCTCCCCGGGCCAGGCCAAGGGGACGGACCCCCGAGGCACGCGGGGAGGAACAGGCTTGGGGTTCCGCGGGGGCCCCAGCGGGCAGGCGTTCCCAGCGCGGGGTCGGGACGGTCCCCGAGGTCCCCTCCGCCCGGGGACCCAGCCCTTCCCGGGCTCCCGACGCGCGTCCCGGACGATCGCCCCGCGCTCCGATCCGCGCGGTCCCCGGGTCCTACCTGTGCGCCCCTGCTCCATTCGCTGTTCCGGCGCCCAAGCGGGAAGAGGCGACACTGGGCTGCCGGCCCTGGCCCGCGCCGCGCGGGGTTTTCCTAGGCTGGGGACCCGCCCGCCCGTCTTCCTGCGCCCCGCCCCGCCAGGACATTTGCATGCCCCGCCCAATCTATTTGCATGCACCGCACCGCCCAGGTCATTTGCATGCCCCGCCCAGTACATTTGCATGCCCCGCCCCGCTCCTGGCAGCCTCCGGGTGGAGGGAACCGATCTGTGCCCCTGTCGCCGTCCGTGAGAGTCACCGTCTCCCATGCAGCAGCCGAGATCGCCCCCCCGCGGACCCAGAGCCCCGCAGTGGTCCCCTTGCCCTGGGGACACAGTGCGAGCTGCAACCAGGCCTCCCAGGTTTAGCTGGGCCTGCCTCCTGCCCGGTCCCCTTCCCCGCCAGTCCCCTGGCCACATCTCTGCGGAGGGGGCCCTGGCGTTCGGGGCTGAGGGCTGCGCAGTCCGACCCCCTCCCCTTTCCCAGCAGCGCGCCTTCCAGGTGCCAATGTTTGCTCTTTCTCTGGGCGAATGTTTGCCGAGCGCCCGCGCTGGGAAAATGCAAAGAGCAAAACAACCTTCAGTCCACGGTGGTCAGGGCAACCGTGGGCCCTGGGCCAGCCTCCGCGGACGCGCGCACTTCCCCCCTCCTCGGGGTCACCTATGAGGATGGTCACCGCTGCCATCCATTTACAGTAGGGAAACTGAGGCACGGGGCTGGTAAGACCTTTGCTCAGTGGAGCTGGGATCGGAACTCAGGCTTCACAGACGGCTAGGTCACTGGTGGCCATAGAAGCCCAGATGGAGCCAGATGGTAGGGAAAGCAAACAAAACTGAACAAAGCATTTCAGCTAATGAAAAGTTCTAAGAAGAAAAATAAAATAAAACAAAGAGGGATCTATCTATTAGGGTGATGAGGCAGGCCAGGGAAGGCCTCTCTGAGAAGGGTACAGAAAACCTGAAGAGGCCCTGGAGAGAGAGCATATCTTAGAAAGCAGGGACAGCAAGTGCAAAGGCCCTGGGGTAGGAACCAACTTAGTTTGGTGGATGGTGGAGCTTCAATTGCTCGAAGCCAGGATGGCAGTGGAGCTTTGAGAGAGGTGAGAGGGAAAGAGAGATGAGGTAGACTCAGGCTGCGCACAGGAAGGCCAGAGAGTAATTTGACCCCTGTCCTCAAGGAGCTTCTAGTCCCATGGTGGAGGTGAACTGCTCAGAGACAGGGAGGGCCCAGAGGGATCAAGCCACATGGGGGAGGGTGAGCTCAGGAAGCAGCGGAGCTGGGGTGGGTGAAGGTCATCTTCCTAGGGGACAGGTCACAGCACTTGGATTATTCTTTCAAGCACTCACTCTGACTTGGCCCTTCTGTGTGCCTCACCCTGTGACAAATGCAGATGAGGAACAGACCAAGGCCCTGCCTCTGGGACCTCACGACCACGTGGGCAAGACCCTAAGTGATGGTCCAGTGGACCCAGTATTGGGAGTCAAGGTTGGCTTCCTGGAGGAGGTGGCTTCTGGTTGGGGACCCCAAGCATCAGTGGGGATGAGGGAGGAGACAGGACAGGTGGAGTGGGCGGCAGGGCGAATAACGGGGGTGAGACGTGCTGTGGGGGCGTAGGGGACCCACCACCCTCCAGCCTTTATGTATGGACACCTCGGTGTGCCAGGCCCTGGGCTGGGGTGGCAGAGAGTGAGAAAGACACGGCTGGGCTTCCTGGGCCCCGGGGGTCCGCTGGGCAGCCCCAGGTGACAGGCACCATCACACCACGGAGGGAGTGCAGTGACCCAGCTGAGTGGGACAGGCCTGGGGTGGGCCTTCCTTCCAAGAGGAGCAGGACCGTCCAGTCCAGGGGTGACCCCCACTCCCGTCCCCACCCCCACACCCCGCCCGTCGCAGCCCCTCCCCTCACTGCCCTTCACATGCTCCAGCGCAGTGCACCTGGGGCCCCAGGCGGTCTAGACCCCACCCTGCAGGTCCTCTCCTTCAGATGGAATCTTCTGGGGCCCTGAGTCGGAGCCCAGTCTCACTTGGAAGGCAGCAAAAGCCCCCCTTAGTCGTCCCTCGGGAGTGGGTGGCTCAGGCTCGCAGCCTGTTTTCTGAGTCTTTCAATCACCCTTCGCTGTCTTCTCGCCCGTCACCTGTGTCTGGGTGCCAGCTCTGGCCCCCACTGGGCTGTGTGGCTTGGGCCGAGGGGGTCTCCCTCAGGGGGCCCCACCATCCTCTCCGTTCCGTGGAGACGGCGCTGGACCCATCTCCTGGGGCTCCCTCAGGGGGACTAGCGAGGTGCACGTGTCGGTGCTTAGAACAGCGCCCACTGTGCCTTGGGCCCTTCCTTGGTAAATATTTATTAGAGCAGGGATAAGAAACACTTAATCAGAGCCTCTCCTTGAGCCCGTGGCTGAGTTGTGAAATGACATTCCAAACAGCCCTTCTGAGATCGGAAAGGATTGCACAGACGTGGTCAGATAGGAAGACGTTGGGGAAGTCTGGGGGAAGAATTATGGGGATTCTCTGTGCTCTCCTTGCAACTTTACTGTAACTCCAAGGTTATGTCAAAATGCAAAGTCGGAGAAAGCAGGTCATTGTTCTGAGGCCCGAGGTTTATCTTCTCATAAACTGTTTCAGTCATCAGCCATCCAAGCTGCCTGTCAGGTCTGGAAGTGGGCCTGGGGCCTCAAAATAATAAAAACTGTCTCCCAATCCAGGGGGTTCCCAAGTTCTTGCCTCATCACAAGTTCAGCCCACATTACATCACTACACAGTTAATCGTGTTGGAACCTATCTTTCTGTTTAAAAAAAAAAATGAATAGACTCGCCAGGCGCAGTGGTGCAATCCTGTAATCCCAGAGGCTCGGGAGGCTGAGACAGGAGGATCACAAGTTTGAGGCCAGCCTCAGCAACTTAGCAAGAACTACAGCAACTTAGCAAGTCCCTGTCTTAAAATAAAAAATAAAATGGGCTGGGGATGTGGCTTAATGGTTAAGCATCGCTAGGCTTAATATCTAGTACAAAAAATAATAATAATAGACTTTATTTTTGGGTACAGTTGCAGCTTGGTGGAGGAACCCTACAGCATGTCAGACCGGAAAGCGGCAGAAAAGCCGTGGGGGGGTTCCATTTTAATGGTGCTGCAGCAGTTTAAGAAAAAAAAAAAAAGTCACCTGAGGTCATATGAATAGAGGTCTAAGATCCAGCACAAAGGAGGTAAGAGTGTACAACTGTGTGTCCCTGTGCGCAATTTCATTTATTATTAACATCTTGCATCGGTGAAGTGCAATGAGGTGCAATGTTGGCGTTTTATTATTAAAGTCTAGAGTTGACGTTAAGTTTCAGTCTCTCTCTGTCGTCCAGTTCTGTATTGACAAATGCACTATGTCACATATCTACTGACAAAGTGACATAAAGAATAGTTTCTCCTTCTTAAAAATTCCCTTTGCCAGGGCTGGGGATGCCCGTGGGTGGTGGAGCACTTGATCATCACGCACGAGGCCCTGGGTGCCAGCCCCAGCTCCGGAAACCAAGAAAATAGCCCTCATGATCCATTATGCACCTCAAGCCCTGAAACCACTAAACGTTTTCCTGTCTCCATAGTTTTGCCCTCATTCAAGATGACACAGGGTTGGAACTAGTCTGTAGCCTCTTAAGACTGGCTTCTTTCACGAGCTTTTAAGATTCCTTCATGTCTTTTCCTGAGCTGTTTCACTAGCCCTGCCATTCTGAATACTGTAGTTTTATAGTAAGTTTAAACTTACTTAAAAGATTAAAAAAACTTTTAAGTTTGTTCTTCCCCTCATGACTACTCCAGGTCTTTTGATTTTCTACCTGATATTTAGAATCAATCTGTTGACACAAAATAACTTTCACAATTTGACTTTCTGGGGTTCTGATCCAGGTTGTGAGAATAAACTTGGGAAGAAATATCAGCTGAACAATATGGAGTCTTTGTATCCATGAACATAGACTACCTTTCCATTTGTTGAGCTCTTTGGTTTCTTTCATCAGAGTTTTATAGTTTGCCTCAAACATATCCTATACATATTTGTTAGGTTTATACTTATGTGTTTTTCATTTTTTTTTTGTATGTATGTTTATGTGACTGGCATTAAGTTTTAATTCAAATTCCAATTTTTTGTCGCTGGTATATGGGAAAGCAATTGACTTTTGTCTATTACTCTTGTAGCCTGAACTTGTGCTACAATGATTAATTCTAGGAGGTTTCTGGTTGACTCTTTGGGATTTTAGCATAAAGATAATAATATCATCCACAAAATGTGTTAGTTAGTCAGCTTTCTCTCACTGTGACAAAACACCTGAGAAAAACAGCTTAAAAAGAAGAAAGGTTTATTTTGGCTGGTAGTATCAAAGGCTTTAGTCCACGGTCACTTGTTTTGTTGCTTTGGGGCCTATGGCAAGAAGAGTGCTCACCCCATGGCAAAGAGAAAGAGGAAGGAGCTGGGCCCCCAAGCACACACTTAACACCCTCACTTCTCTCCACAAGGCCTGGCCTCCCAAGATGTCCACTACTTCCCAACAGTATCATGGGAGCCTTTGAAGGACATTTAAGATCCAAACCATAACACAAAGACACTTTGGCTTCTTCCTTCTCAGTCTACAGACTGATTCTTCTTTTCTTTGTCTTGTTGCATTAGGTCGGACTTCCAGTATGATGGTGAAGCGCTGGGGAGGGGACGTGGCTGCTTTGTCCTTGATGTTTAGGGGACAGCAATGGGGTTTCTCACCACCAAGCAATGTGTTAGCAGCAGGGTTTTAGCAGATGGATTTTTTGTCCAGGTCGAGTTTCTTCTTCTCCCTCCACTCTGCTCCTGGGTCCCTGAGGGTTCTTATCAGGATGGTGTTGGATGTCATTAAATGTCTCTTCTGCACCTATTGACATTGGTGACTTCTTTCTTCCTTAGCCTGTCGATGCGATGGGTTATATTAGTTGACATTTGGATGTCGAATCAGGCTTACGGGACTGGGATGAGTCTTGCAGGGTTGGAAGTCAGAGTTCAGTGCCCACGTTATTGGGTCTGACTCATGAACATCTTTGAGGACTTTGGCCTCTGAGTTCATGAGGGATAA